ACACTGCTAAATTAGGGACGGCTAGCGCAGATAGCCCTCGTGTAGCTTTGCGCGAAATTCAAAACAAACAAACCAGTCAAATATTTTTATATTCCAAACAGATGCTTCGTGATGTTCCGTAGATAAAAGCAGATATCGGTCTGTTTCAAATTTCTAGGTTGTTCAAACTACACTCTATATAGCTATCCATATATTATATCTTTCTTTAGTGCCGATTGTCGAAAAATGTTATATATAATAAACATGTATCTAATATTGAGGTTTGTTTAATTATAACCCAATCAAAACATGATTCAATCCCCTTATCATTAAGCTAGAAAATGGTACCTAAGTGCTCTAAAAGCTTTCATCAAGGAATATGCGATAATATTATATTTCTTAATAATGAAGGCAAACTGGAGAGCAGTAAAAAGGCATTATTATAATGCCTAATGGTTTACTTAAATCTTGACTTTAATATAAGTTTTTAACCCTAGAAATACTTATTTAGACACTCAGTTAACTTGTAAATAGCAAGTCATATATTTTTGGAATCATTACTCGGGTTTTGCGAATAATTGATTGTTGTAATTTGGAAAGAAGGGAAGTCACTTAAAAGAAAACATCACTTTGTTGATATTGAACTGAATATTCATTAGAAACATTATTCTAAGAACTCTGCATGGTATTTGTGGTCGCTGAGTTGTTCTATTAGGTTATCAAGCTGGTCATTCATTTGTTTAAAACACTCTATACGTTTTATTACCATAAATAAATATAATGATTAAGATTATTGAGCATTTTTTTGTCAGATTAGATCAAATGTTATAGAAAATCAGCTTAGACAATTTAATAACTAATATATTTTAAGCTGCATGGTCAGCTTTGTCTACCATAATTATCATACGAGATATAATAATTCAAAATGCACTGCACTTTCTTCCTAGACCACTTTTATGTTTTAAGTGCTCGATAAAGCACCTCTGCAGACTTACAGATTTCACAATTAAAGAAATAGTTCTGTAAATGACATAGTATAGTGAAGTGAATTGAAGGATCAATTATCGCTCTGAATTTGCGTTAATTTTATATTTTATATGATATACACGCCAAGTGATACTCTCGGCACTAAGTTTTATTTAGTTTTTTTTTTTTTTGTTTATTTTGTTCCTTATACAGTTTATTGTATATTCAACATCTGTTAATCACAGTCGACCTTAGAAACATGATACAAATGATATATTTTTATAAATTCTATTAGGTCTTATTTAGAGATACATCAACAGATATACTGTCAAACAATCGTTTCTACAATGTGTTTAAAGAGTTTGTAACTTATCTAATATATATTAATCTATGCATTATGTGTTAATTTGATGGACTGCTAAACTTGAGGATTATATTTAATTTACACGAGTTAAAAAGAAATTTTAAGATGGATTCACAATATTATAGGAAACTTAACTTCTCACAGATTCCCCTTATACAACTATGGATCCACCGTCCACCCATGTCCTCTCCCCTCAAAGAATAACCGGATCGCCAAAAACGTTCACACAGCATCCATAAGACGTTCTGTTGCATATGTGCAGAATGTATCAATAAGTTGTAAAACAAATTACTTAGATTGATCGTCTTTGTGTTATTTCTGTAGGAATGATGCAAGCAAATTATGGAATTATAGGGATATAAAATACAAATAGAGTAACCTAAAGAAGAAAATTGAAACTGTTGAGAACTAAAACTATATTCTTACCCGAACTGTCTCTGCTGGTGTTATTGGAGATTGCCGATCTTTCATAAGATCCACTCGAAAATCTCCCGAATCTGTGTGATTCCATTTTGCTGTTGTATGAGTAACATCGGGTGGTCCTGTTTCGAAGATATAATTAGCTATATTCATTGACAAAAATAATTTTAGCGTGGCAGCATTACTTAACTACTGAAGATAAAAATAAAGGATTATTAATTGCTCTGTTTGTCAGAAACTCCAATATATTATATATGTAATGGTCTTCTTAAAGGAAAATATTATAACCAGAAGAAGAAAATACGAAATCACATCACATAAATTTACTCTTACAGTAATAAATTGGTAATATAGACAGTATAAACAAAGTCACGGGAAATAAAGTTTACAGATAAACAAAACTGATGATACAGTTCTGTAAAAGGAATCTATTTATACATTCCTTTTAACTATGATAGCCCTTCCTGTTATATAATTTACTGATACTTGAAAGCTTTTACGACTTTACATATTTTAACATTTACTGAAATATGTCAGAATTGTAAAATCTCCAGGGAATTGTCGTTTTAAGACGCGAATTACTAATGTATTTTAGTATAGATCAGCATTTCAGCATTGATTCATTGTAACTTGTAATAACTAGCAAGTTTCAAAAATGGCTCCCCGGGATTCCGAGTGTAGTCACGAACACATAATTCGATACCAGAGTTCAGCAATCCTGAAAAACTATTCAAAGACTCCATCATGCCTTACTGACCTTCCGGGCGTTATAATGTGACTGACAATCCCACTATTCGTTGGTGAAGGAGTAGCTCAAGAGTTGGCGGTGGGTGGTGATGACTAGCTGCCTTACCTCTAGTCTTTCAATGCTAAATTAGGTATGGCTAGCGTAGATAGCCTTCGTGTAGCTTTGCGTAAAATTCAAAACAAACAAACAAAGCATACTGCATACAAGTTCACAAACACACAACGTGAATTAATATGGGTTAAGATTTTATTACTTATCTGAACTTGTATTCATTAATCTGTGTTACATTCTTAGATTAAAGTGACTGTACAATTAAACTTGAATATTTGCCATTAAGTTTTCGACTCATTTTGATTGCTAAGTGTTCTTTCAAGTTTTTAAAATTTGCTCTTCTCAGATATTACTAGGCATTATACATATATATATATAATTTTTTTTACATAACTTTCAAAAAATTGTAGAATCGTAAAGATAACAACCAGTGTATTTTTATATCAGAGTTCAAGGTTCTGATGGGGTGAATTCGTTTCATTGGAAGATTAAATTAGTACATTGACAGAAGTATTTTACTGCTTTAGGCTTAGATTTCTAAATATAAGTGAAGTCGATAACACATTAAGTATCTTAGTGAAATAAACAGTATATATATAGATTTATTTTTTGAAATATACGTTTTCAGAAAAACGTAAGGCGCTTGCAGCAAACTGATTATTAACATTCATATCCAAAGTAATGAAATGGTATTTTTTTAAGCCTGGCGATAAACATGCAATAATAAGATTTAAAAAAAAAATAACCTACTACATTTTATAAATACAAAATTTTACTTTCAAAATGTATTTCATAGTGTTCTATGTAGTTTGCTTTCTCTGTAATGTTACGTTTGAATTTTGCTAAATAATATACTGTCACAAGTGAAATGTTAGTTCGTATTTCAGTTGATATGTATTGTAGCAACACTAGTGTAATTTAGCTTGATCAAAGTTCAGTTAGTTTACTCCCTTCACAATTAAAGGGTATCATATTCGAAAGATCCCCAGTTGAAGAAAATGAAAACAATACATAACCACCTTTAACGAGGATTAGAAATATTATTTATATTCTTACTAATCGTTTCAAGTAAACCTATGTTATTTGTTACATACATCCGCTATTTCAAGAACAAACTAACCAGAAAAATCTTTTTTGGTAGAAATAAGATCAAGAAGTTGAACATCGTGTTTTGGAGATTCTTCATCGGCATCAGAATTCACTAAATCTCTGTTCAGAAAAGGAAAAAAAATATTCGAAGACTTAAAGTATAAACGAAACGTACTGAAAAAAAATATACACACATAGAGAGAGAGAATGACATTTTCTATTGCTTCCCTTAGCTCGTGAGTTAAAATATATGTTATCTAATACCAATAAGATGTACATGCATTTAAGATGATATTCAACTTTTAGTTATTAGAAAAAGTATAACTAGCATAATAAAAAATTATATTTACTATAATTTCAAACAGCCTAATTTATTAAATATATATATTCTCAGAATAGATTATTTAATCAATAAAACACAAGTTTATCTTCTTCAGATACGCTTCAAGTCTCTTAGTTTTCGAGTTTTTTTCTTAATTTTCTTCTTTTTCGCTATTCATTTATTATATTATTTATTAGCTTAAAGATCGGTGACATGAATGCCTGAAGTGAAGTGATGGTTTGAAGTGAAATGACGGCCAATTATTCAAATTAAATTCTATAACACATTCCTCATTTTCCATACATATCTAAGACATATCTAACGTGGAATTGACCATCTATATCATTTTAAGTTACATTTTATCGTTTTCACTTAGTCAGGAAGTATTTCGTCAGGATTTTGTTTCATCAGTTTTATTATATTTAAGAATGTTACAACAGAATTAATGCATCCTGAATTCACATATAGAGATAATTTTTCATGCAAACTTAAAGTATGATATAACAAAATTTAAGAGGGAGAGCGTCTAGTAACTTAAAAATATATTTTGTTTAATCCATTCTGAAACATTTATTAGTACTATGTGGAAAATATACCATAGCTGCTACTAAAATCTGTAAAAGACTTACTTTTCAACTCGGCTATTGTGTATATCTTGCTCTGAAATAAACAAAAACAGAAGATCATTTTAATAAATATCACCATGAAATATTTTTCAGCCCTAATATTTTGATTGTGTTTTTAAGATAAAATTGAGCAATCTATATGATTTTTCCTTTCTTTCTGAAGTTATATTTATAGCCATCATGAGCAGAAGTGCCGTTACTTTCAAACTGTTAGCATTCGAAGTGTGGATTTATCGACACAATATGAATATGCATTAGTGTAGCAAGTTTAATCTTTTTCATGAAAACAGTAGCTCACAGTCTGAATCTATTAAGATATGTAATGATTTCAAATTGAAACAACAACATGAAAACAACTACTGATGGAATTTAAAGTCTAACACATATGCAATATGCTTATTTTTGCAGCATGCAGTTTATTTTTATAAAGAGGTAATCACGGGTCACATGAGTGTATTTTCTACTTAGCGGTTTCTAAGGTCATCGATGGTAATAATTGATAAAACCTCAATTGGTAAAAAGTGATTTCTAAATGACACTTTTCTTCACTTCACCTATCCAGTGCATAGGTTTTTCTCATAGTGACTACAAAGCACGTTCACACCATCAGCATGTTTGAACGTAAATGGTGTTAAAGAAATCAGAAAGTAATCCATAAATTATACAGGTTTGACAAAAACAAAATAGTACGTTTGTCTTAGTAATAATTCTGTATTATTATCGACGTTTCCTTAAGGTCATAGTTAGATAATTATGAAAGTAAAATTGATGTGAATAAAAAAACGACAAAAGTGTCTAGTTTCATATTTATCTTACGATGGACCATGTAATGTGTTTCTGACTAACTCGGAAATATAAACATGAATTAAACTATAAATATTTCAACCTTTAGTCCAAACACCCAGTGATCAAATAACATAGCGTAGAGTTCATAATTCCTTAGTTAACTTACTATATCGTATTAAAAATAGTTTATACAATAGAACAACTGAGAATAAGTGCGAAATTATTTTATGCTTCCTGTAGAATAAGAATGAATGTTTAATGATTAAAACAAGAAAACTGTGCTGATTAACACAAGTATATCGAAAAGGCTCCTATGAAATTATTCCAAAGTTTTCACCTTAAGGCGGTATTTATTGGGGTGGGGGGGTAATACTTCAGTTTCATTTCTGTATTACAAATATAGTATAAAACTAAAAACTCTATGCAAAGTTTCGAGAAACTACAGACCTAGTTAAAAAAAACTAAATTAGATAAGTAATAGCCATTTCGAAATATTTCAATGCGTTTCTTAAGATTCCTTTTATAACGCAAAAATTCAATTTATAGCACATTGTATGTTTTTTGTTTGTTATCGACAAGCACCAAGACAATGCACATTGCTTTAGCAAGTTTATGTAACTGCGGTAACAGTTACAACTAATGCAAAGTACATTTTCTATTCAATGAAAATGGACATATATTCTCTAAACCACTATTTATTCTATGAAGATGAGCGGAAGCTACTGATCAATAAAAACAGCTTCTACCTAGCAACGGTATTACATGGATATATATATTTCTTCTACGCCATCTCAAATTGCATGGTTGCGTGATCTCGGTTAACAGATGCTAGTCTTCATTTTCTAAAAGCTGTTGAGAAAAGTCTGAAAAGGATTTCTTCTTCTACTGGCAAAAGATTAACTTGTACCAAAGTTCATGTGCATATATTTATGCTAGTACAGTTGAATAAGATCCCTGATATAGCACAAGTCTTGCATGATATGCGTTTAGTATTATACCCTTGCCATTCAGACTTTTCTTAAGAAAAATAAAGAAAACTTTCTATTGATTATATCTAAGCTCATCAGAGCACGAAGTAACATACGTTAGATCTATCGCTATAAATGTTTGCAAACAGAAGAAGCACAACTCCAGCCAATATCGCTATGAATGACATTAATGTATAGAGCAGTTGACTTTTTGAAGCTGAATAAAAAAGAAATAATTTAGCTGTGAATCCTACATATGTTTCAGTTGTGGGTGATATCTATGAATTTCGGTTACACGGCCTTCTAATCTTTTTTTTTATGTTATGATTTTCGTTTTAATTAGCTATGCTTTGCTGAAATTACTTTTGCCACAATAAATCACAATGTTTCACATATTTATCTATCGTAATGTCCACTGTAAAAATAAAAATTTCTAGTGTAGATTTCAATCTCTAAAATTTATTAATAATATTACCATTATTTTAATACCGTACTTGTATATTATTAACAGTTGCACATAATTTGCATTACTTTACAATTTTAAATGCAACTTTATTAGGGGATAGCAAGTAACCATACCTCGATGGGAACGATGTACACATCGTAGTTTTCTTAATACAAAGATTAGTAGAAAGAGAATCACCACTACAAGAAGGATTCCAAGGACAATGCCCAATATGTGAGAAAATCTAAAACCTTCAGTATTTTTACCTGAAAACAAAGATCAAACACCAAAAAATATGAAATTGTTAAAATATTTTCACTACAACGCAGGAACACGATTGAAATATTAGCTGAAGCTCTTGTTGCAAACTAAAACATAAAGAAACAAACATTTCTATAAGTTGATATGCAATATTTCAAAAATTACTTGGTGGTTTTAGTTCTATTTTATTATGATAATAATATATTTTACTTTAAGAGGAAAAGATAATGTTCTAAAATAATTAGCAATTAATGAGTCATACATGATCTTATCACTTTCTTCACCATACACTCGAGATTTTTGTACACTGCAAAATATTATTTAATGATTTGAACCATTAGTGCATCTAAATATTTTAACAACATCAAAAAACAACAAAATTTATCGGTTAAAAAAGTGTTTATTATTCTTTAGAACATAATAAAAATCTGTTTCTTCATTTGGTATTTTTCTCTTCCTGATCAGTTCTAAAACATAAGAAAAAAATAACATTATATTCAATCCATAATAGATTATGTTTATAAAATGTAATACAAATTTCAATACCGCCATAAATGCATGCTTAGCTTAGCTAATTTTATAGAATATGTAATTTAAAGATTGTTTCAAAAATTTCAACTGCATCTGAGTTATATGTGATGAAATCTATCATTATTGGTGATATGGTAATCAAAGCCAACCTTTATCAATCTTTGTTTTCTTTATGGCTACTTCAAACTGTTTGAAACCGTTAAAAAGCAGATTTGAAATATAGGTTAAACAAAGAAGTCTAATTTTCAGTCTCTCCAAATATCTAAGTATTAACAAGTTAAGAAATAAAAATCAGCGAGGAGCTGAAGAATATCAAATTGTTATATTCTATTACTTTTGCTAAGTAAATTTCTCTCATGAAACACGTCATCGAATTTGAAATTAATATATGTAAGCAAAGTACTTTGTATATAAACACAATTCTCAGGTGACTCAGCGGTAAGCTTGAGGGCTTATACTGCTAATATTTAGGGTTCAGTCCCTGCAATGAGCACAGAGTATGAAGGTAATTGTGCAGTTTAAGAAAAAACAAACAAAACAAAAACAATATAAGAACAACAAATTTTAATTTAAGCGAATATAGCATCTTTATGAATTTTCAACTGGAAGCAAGTCATAATGATTAAAATTTTAAATATTGATGAAAACAATAATATATATAACATATGTGCTTCAAGTTTTATTAATAGTAAACGCGACCAACTTTGTGTAAATTAAATGTTATAAAAAAACATTTCTGGGTTGCCCTGGTAACAAAAAGTTAATATTTATAAAGATGCCTGGAAACCAGCTGTTTTTATATTCATAAATAAAGTCTTCATCTTATAAATTAATGGATATAGTTTTGAAAAAAAAAAAGCTTAGCAATAATGCTTCACTTTAAAGTATAAACGTGACATTAGTAATGAATGTAATCTGCTGTGAAATACAAAGTATTTAATCTTTCTTTTATTTGGTATGTAGGAAAACTAACAATACATCTGTGATAAGAGAGGCGTACACGTAATGTATTACTTACAGCAATGAGAAAAGACTTTTAATCTCAAACAGAGTGGTTATTCACTGTTTTCATACAATAGTGCACTACATATAAATGACAGCTTTTGCAGGAGCACTTCAAATAATTTACAAATGGTGTATTGAATGCAAAGCAAACATTCTGGTACCGATTTTTAGATAGGAATTGAGTTTAGTTTTTCTTTCTTGTTAATAAACAAAAGGCAAAATACGCCTGAAGCGGTATTCCTAAAACATAGATCTCATGAGAATGACTAAATTAATTCAACATAAAATCCATGTCTATATTTTCCAAATTATATACCTGTTAGTATGGTATACATATACCTACAATACAAATTGATGAAAATCGTGTACGCTTGTGTGCAATTAGTTACCTTGTCATTACTTTTAAATGATAAGAAGAAAAAACAGTAGAATGGCAATGGCTATACTGTAAATAATTAGGCATGAAACCCTTTTCCAGCTTTGAATCAATAAAAGTTATATATGGGCAGGACATACTTTCCACATACTTTATCGACTGTTTGCAATTGGAAGGTTGAAGAAAACGCAGACGTGTTCTGTCGATACATGGTCAAATTAGGCAAACAGATAGGTTTCTTTCGTTAGTGACCTTTTTACACAAATTACTTTAGTTTATTGAATTACATCGGTTTGTTACATATGTTTTGCTGGATAGCTATAATATCGTATTTGCGATATTTTACCCGATCTTGTCTACAGTCGCTTCTTTGAAACAAACAGTAAATAATGGAAAAGGTTCGTACAATTAATACAAAAAAAATACTTGTAATCCGCGTCCACCAATATCTGTTACGCAAGTTAACTTATATCATTTTATTGGAATTACTTTATTTATGTTTTGTGTACTTTCAAGCAAGAAAACAAAACAAAACACAATGTCATAATGAAGTTAAATACGCATTACACGTCTACGTCCAAAAGTGTATCGTTCTAAATCAGTAGGAAAATTAGACAACTAGGTATAAATTCATTAATATCGATTGTACTTAAGTAAATATAACTCATCACGGTATATAAAATGCCCAATTGTGAATGGATATGTATTACAGGCAGATCAAATCACAATGTTGAAAATAAACAATACTTATTTGTGCGAAATTATTTTATATTTCTTTATAAAATTACTTAAAATATTTTGTGTTTTCGATTAATGATTGTATTTGGTCTATTTGCATATTCGAACATCGCATTTCCAGGAATAAAGTCACCATGGTATTTATGTCAATAATATAAAGGTTCTATAGCAGAAGGCTAAGAATATTTGTTTGTTTGTTTGTTGTTAAGCATAACGCTACCCAATGGGTTATCTGATCTGTGGCCACCATGAATATCGCGTCTGGATTTCTAGAGTTATAAGCCCCCCAGACTTGTCGTTGAGTCACTTGGTTAAGGTTGAAAAAGCTAATTTTCGGTAATACGCTATTCACACAATCTTGCCTTTTTTGGTAGATTTGTAGTTTACATCTAGAGTTCTTGCCTGCAGAGTCTCTGGTGGACTTCTTCCTCTCAGATTGGCAGAATAAATACGAAGAATAAATGGCGTTCCAGGAGGCAGGGAATGAACCACAAAGAAAGGAGCATCTGAAGCAGAAATATTGTTCTGCAGATTTTTGTTTCTTTTGTTATACACTTCAAGCTGAAAATGTTGCGATAGTCCTCGGTCTTTACCAGGAGAGCATCGAACAATAAATGTTTCTATTGTTTGGTTTACGAGAAGGCAGTTTTTCGGCGCCTCTGGAGGAGCTCCGGAAAACAGAAAATAAAATCTTATGCGTGGATATTTTCAATGGCTTGTTATTTACAAGTGAACAGTAAAAGGAAGAGGTAGTCATTTAGTAAGAAAAACGAACAAAAAAAGAAAAAGCTAATGAAATGGTAAATCCTAATTACAATTATTTGAGTAAATATGTATATATATACAACTTTAGTGTAGAAATATCTCTCAACTGTTCTCCTGACAAAGATTTTATTTTGGTCAAATAATACGACATTAGATCCATTTCGTTAGTTAGAATCTTAAAATAATTGAAAGTTATAAATTCATGTACTTAATAATGAACTGCGTGACCACTCATTTTTTAATTGATTCTATATTTACCTAAATATCACATAAACAAAGAGAAGCCATAATGTAAGCTAAAATCATGATAATTCTTAGGTTAATGTGTTAATATAATACATATTTTGGGTTATACGGTTACTATTCTTTATGTTTTCAAAACAAAACATCAATAAGACGTTTGATTAAATTGTCAATATCTGTCACTTGGGATCAATTTTGCAGGACAACGGTATCAACTGACTAATGTAAGTAAAAAAGTAAAAATGCAAGATCTAAATGTATGTGCATACATAAGATTATAGGATTATTTTAAAAGCTCTCAAAAGTTTTACAACGTATTAAATACATGCTTAGCTCTAAAGCAGTTATTTTTAGATACAAATATCTACTTTCCAACATTCGAAATAACATTTGAGATAAAGTATTTACATACAATGTTTCATAAGTGCATTAAATTGTTTATTGGTGATTTCAGGCTTAAAATGAACACAATGCTTTTATCACTGTAGAAAAACATATTGAAGGCTTTCGGTGCTTTTAATTTATATATATATATATTCATGACTTATTTCGTATCAAGTTCTAGCTTTTTAATGCTATTACATTTAGGATACAATACGCTGTAACTTTTCTTTTTCGAAGTAATAGTAGTAGATACGATAACAGAAACATTTAAGTTTAAACTGGGTTATAAAATATATTTTCAAATAGAATGATCAAAATTCGATTTTAAAAGATCAGTCACTTGGCGGCTATGAAACACATAGTAAATACATTGCATTAAATCCTCAAAACCTCTAGAGTGTTTTAGACTTTGGCTGTAGTAACGCCATCACAGATTTCATTACATTTAAATTATAATCAACACGTAAAAGTTAACTAGCCACTCTACAACTTCAAACATAACTATGTTTTGCTTAACATTTACCTATTCATATATTCACATTTATTATACAATGCGAAAACAACAACAAAATACAAACAGAAGGTATCGCCAGTAATTTGTTACATGTAGCATAACTAATAGTTACATAAAACATATTTATTGAGTGTTTATGTAATTACAGTACTACACAACAAACACCAGTGGTTATATTTTTTTTCGCTAGCGCACAACTGTTATAGATGATATATATTAGACGCTACCACTTTGTGCTTCTCAATAAAGCATGTTATGTTTAAATCTTTTGTGATCGTAAGCAGTGGCGGGAATTATATATATCAGAAATAAAACAGTAATCAGTATCCGGATTAATGACAAAAACCATTAAACAAAATATGACTTACCTCCTGGAGTAACTGTAAAGTTGCAGGGATAATTTTGTTCACCAAATTTATTCTTTGCCCAACACAATAATGTTCCATATTCTACTTCGGATTGAGGTGAGAATAGGGCAACACTAGTTGTTCCATTTTCAGTGAATGTGTTTAAAGACAAAAGTCCGAAACTATTATTCAGTGACCAACGAAACTGAACGTCTGAAGGCTGGGCATCAACTTCACATGTTACTTTAATTTTCGATCCGGCGAGAACTGCATATTCCTTAGATTCCAAAGACTTACATACCGGCTGATCTGAAATGCAGTTGTCAGAATAATAATTGTAATATTATGAGATGTGATGCATTTAAATATTAAAAGTTAAGCTTTAGTATGCGCGATTATGGTTAGTTAATATTTTCTGTCCTGCTGTATTTTAGTCATGGATAAAATGTAAAAGGTACAATCAACCGGATTTAAAACAAGATACAGTTACTTATTTGTGCAGCTATCACGAATTAAACATAAATTGCAATCTTAACTCACTTCATAAAAATACTTGTTGATCTTCACCAATGAAATATGATTCATCAACCGACACCTTCTCGATTTTTGTATGTTTTTTCTATTTATAACTAAAATGTTTCTCTTTATTTTTGTTAGTTTACTGACCAGTTATAGCGCAAAATAAAGCTTAAATCATCAACAATTTACCATATTAGCGTTTTCAATGAACGCAGAACTACTTATAGAAAATTAATTTTTATCTAAATTAAACACATCCCCATGCACACATACATATAGTTATTTGCTAACGTTAAATAAACTTACAGTTTACCATCAACGACATTTCTTCACTCCAGCCTTCCCCTTCTTTGTTTGCAGCTACACACTGGAGCCTTCCATTATGATTTTTTGTAACGTTTTTAATAGTCAACGAATGGTTGGCGATTATAATGTCTGATTTTTGATTGGTGTTTATAGTTGAACCGTTAAACAGCCACCAGACGTCAACTTTAGGTGGATTTGCATCAATGTTACAATCTACTGTTATCTCACTGCCTTCTACTAAATCATTGAGGCTGCTTATATTTCGTGAACTAACTGTAACTTGTGGAACGTCTGTAAAATAGGGATATTTAATGATATTAATATTACAAATGAAATAAATATAAAATAGACAGAGCTATTTACACAATCATGTCAACTCAATTTTTTTAATAAAAAGGTGGCCACTGAGCCACAGAGGTGCAAGAGTAGAAAGAATAGCAACATTGCTGGTCAGATCAAAATACTAGTTTTAGCGTAATCCCTCAGTTTCAATAGTTTGCAAAATTTTAATGTTATTCTTTTGGTCTCACAAAATGAAAATTGATTATATGAAGTAATGAACTATTTTAAGAATAACACTGGAAGAATGAATATTACAATTATCTAATAATTTATGAAGAATATTTAAGCAGATCATTAGCAGCGCTATTTTGTCTCTATTAGTTGAGTTAAAAAGTTAAAATTTTACTCACAATATACTTCCAAAGTGTGAACATCAGAAACAACGCTGTCCTTCAAAAGAGAATTATCTGCTCTGCAAGTGATATTCTTCGAATTATCTTTAGCTTCCGAGGTGAATGTAACAGTACTAACAGTTTTATTATTATCCGGGGTTAATAAATCCGAAACAAATGTTAGACGGTCCATCCCCTTCCACCAGGTGATTTCAGCAGGAGGCCTGGCGCCCCATGTTTCACATACGAGCTCCACCTGTCGACCAGCAGATACAGGTCTATTGGTTGTGATGATCTTTACATCTAAAGGCTTCACTGGGAGAGTAGAAATTAAATAAAGAAAATTCTGAAGTTAAGAGTTATAAGCTAAAATTTATTTTAAGAAACGTAAGATTATTCCAGTAATAATATTTTGAAAGAAAACGATAAAGAACTATGAAGATTTAGAAAGAAAAGAGGATCAGTTTGTAAGATATGTATATATGAGCATGCTGAATTATTAAATTAGAATTAGTATCTTGAAATTAGATTTAAATCGCGGTAAAAATAATGTCATTCTAAATTCTTTTGAAATAAGCTATCCCTTTAACTTGTTTTAAAATGCCATGTTTCAATACTTTGTAAAATGTTGTTGTTGTTTTTTTCTGTTGTTTTAGCGCAAAGGTACTCAATGAGTTATCTGTGCTATGTCCATCGCGTGGAATCGGAACCCAGATTTTTACGTTGTATTTTCACTTATTGCTGACCTACCGGGGGACCTTTATAGCTATATCAAATATTTAGAGCTGTCTGATCTCTAGAAGATGAAGTTATCTTGGGCGTAAATGGTACAGATGAATGTTTACATTTATTCATAGGTGTAACATTTGCGATAAACATTTCAAAAATACTGCTTTACAAGATACATATAAATATATATAAATGAGGCTTAAAGCAACAGGCCAACAATGTTAACAGCCTCAATTACAGATCGGACATCATAACTAAATGGAAACAAGTAATTTTTTATCTAAGCTATGTGGATATTGTTTGAGAACTGATCATATATGTCTGCATGATGCCTTTATAAGCTGATGTGGAGAACTTTAACGTTATGAACACTTCAATGTTACTAGTAAGTGCAAAATAGATGGAAACAAATGTTTTTGCTATTTTACACTAACTAAATCTTAAAAATCCTTGAACAACAAGTGTTATGCGATGTTTTTCTCACGCTAGTTTTTCTCTCTTTTAATTTAGATGGTATCTATATTAATGTCATAATAAAAACTCAGACGTTCTAACTATTTTCTATATTGAGATTTCAGATTAACAATAACTATAATAATAAATGCATAGAAAGAGTACTTCTTCTGGAAATAAGTACAGTGCTGTGTGCCATCTTGCTCTGATAGGCAAAATACGTGTACGTGTAGGCCAAACGAGGGAATAGCTCACGAAGAGGTAACTTTGCATCTATGATGGCACTTTCAATACCCAATAAATCTTAGTAACAAACACCTGTTATAGAACAAAATTGCAGACGTGCTTTCTATAGTAATTATCAAGCACGGTTTATTCCTATCGCGAGTTGAAAACACTACACGACTTGTAATGAGAAAAGAGAGTTTCTTTGAATTTACGCTACTTAGAATAAATTAACAAGAATTAACATGAAAATTATTTCTACATAGTGATTTACTCGACTGGAAGCTATTGAAGCTATAGATGGTTCACAAGCCAAACAGCTGCTGTATTCCTGTGATAGTAACAAGTTAGTGTAAATAAATTAATAAATTAGTATTTCAGCAGAACTAAATTATATTCAAATACTTTGGCTACGTGTATGACATGATTTATTATAATCTAATAACCTCATAAAATAAATTCATTTGCACCAGTGCTCTTGAAACTCATTAATGAAATTTAAAAAGGTTATAATTATTAAATGCAACCAGCTTTTCTATCAACATTAAATTTGCATAACTAAAAGAAAAACGATTAAAGATAATAAAATAAACCTTAATTGTAGCGTTGAAACATGTTTATTCACCGTGTGATCCACTTACCTATTGTTTAAAAAATAAACATAAAAAAGTTTCACAAGAACTAAAGCAACTTATTTGAAAACGTATAACAATTAAGGACTACCTTTTGAATGAAAATTGATAATGAGAAGATAACACGAAGTTTATTATAGCGAGAAATCAGTGAGTAAGCATAGCAATTACGTTTACAAGAAAACAATTACATTATATTTCCAAGCAAGGCACATATTATTCTTATATACATGCACGATGTGTTCGTGTTATCAAAGCTTCAATACATTTAAAGGCGAAATACCACCATCTCAAAACGGCCTTTCTTTACTACAGAAATATATTTCCGTTCTTGTTCTTAAGAACAAAGCTACGTAATTGGTCTATCTATGCTGTGCTCATCGCGGATATCGAAACCCGATTTGTTGTGTTATAATCCCTCAGACTTGACGCTGAGCCACCAGAGGGAGTGTATAAAATATACTTTTATTTTTTAGTTGATATTTATAATATTTACATGTACTATTATTCTATTTGGCTGGGCCTAGTAGCTGGCGTGCCGGATTATAGGTCTTAGGATTCAAGGTTCGCGTCCCGTTGGCATAAACAAAAAATCATGCTTCGAACTTTAGAACCATGGGAAGTCCATTAGTTGGTTGTGGGTGCTTCTAACTAAATGTATTTGTTCTAGTCTATGAGTTTAAAATTAGGGACGAGCTAGGGTTTATGGCTCTTGTCTAATTTCGGGTGAAGATATGAAACAAACTGATCTTCTCATATTGTCACATTTAAAAATAATACGAAATGTTTATTCGTTGTTATCATTCAAATGTACCTTAATTAAAGCCTAACCACGACTTTAATTATTTAAATGGATATTAATAAATTAATAGAAATACAGTTTGAGTAGCCAAACGTTTTTGTTTTTAATGCTACGATTTTTGTTAGTTTTAGCGTAAATCTACAGATTTTGCTATTTGAGCTCTGTTCACTGAGGGAGGATCGAACCCCAAATTTGTTAGTCCGCAAATTTACCGCTGAGACACAGTCAGACAAAATGCTCTGACGAACAGAGGTTGTATCATATTTATGTTCCATAGATGTTTTTTGCAGTTTCGTTACTTATTGAAACTAAAAAGAAATGTCTAGTTTGCTTTTTCTAAGCAAAAAAAGATTAACGTACTTTATTAATCTTGGGCAGTAGAAGTACTCACAGAAGAAATTTTGAAACTTTACTTTTAATTTTATAGGTTCAGAGGGGAACCGTTTTAGGAAAGCAAGATTATTCATGATTTAAAGTACAAACTTTACATAAATCGATAAAGATTCTTTTTTTTCACCTCAGGTGTAACTGTAGTGATTTTAAATGTTTTTCTCCCATATTTTGAAAGAAACCTATTACACGTGTAAGTATTTTTAAAGGTGACAGAAAAAAAAACACTTTTAATCCTCATGATCGATATGTTACACATTGAATAAAATCTACAAATCCAGAACTTCACATATTTCTCATATCCTATTCACCCATTGAAATAATATTTAATACCTAAACGATAACTTATCTTCTATTTTGTTTTTATTTGTAAATAAGAAATTAGGTGGCAGTTTTACACCTAATTGTATTACTACTGATTTTCTCTACGCAAAGCAGTGAAACCCGACGAATAAGTAAGATCAAATTAATAATGCAATTATGAAGAAGCGTGTTTCACTCTATCTGTAATGTTCAGTAATTAACATAGTCACATATTACACGAGAAGAAATATTCAGAGCTTGTACGCTTCTCCATAATTTTGTAATGAATAAAAGCAGATACTTTTAATATTATAGTTACATCATGTTATATGATAGCTTGAACTTTTCACTGATACAATGTTGGAAGAGTCGTCTTTTTTTCTGCTGGTTGATGGCTTCTAAACTTAAACAAAAAAGAGCAACTAATTGCTGATATCCAAAGAGAGTAGTTTCTTGGGGATGACATAATTCTGTTACGTACAGTTTTCATTACGTTTCTGTTTGTTTTCGTAGTTTTTTTGTTTCTTTGTAATTAAGCACAAAGCTACACAATGGGCTATATGTGCTCTGCCCACCACGGGTATCGAAACCCGGATTTTAGCGTTGTAAGTCTGCAAACATACCGCTGTATCACTGGGGGTTCGTAGTTTTTAGCCAGTAGTTTCTTGGGGATGACATAATTCTGTTACGTACAGTTTTCAATACGTTTCTGTTTGTTTTCGTAGTTTTTAGCCAGATAGGGTTCTACGAAGAAGGAGATTATTTAGTATATTCAAAAACATTTTAGAATAGACAATAGTGCTATAAAACAATATAAAGTAAGTAAAGGAATAGAAGATTAGATGCATCGAATCGGAAAGTAAGCAAAGAAAATGGAAACGACAAAGAACAAGAATTTTTTTGTATTTAAATTCACACGTTTAGAACATATCACAATCATTTCTCTTCACCTGACCTTTTCGTGTCAGTGCTCAGTAGAAGTATTATCATTAAAGAAGAAAGATATAAAGAAAACTAGATTTATTCATGATTACCACAGATAGGTCTGTAATGTTCACATAATTGTAGACGTTACAATGTATAAATTATGTAAATCGAATAGGTTGAACTCAAAATTAGTTTATTTGATTTTTTTCTTTTGGCACATAATTTATTGATGTCATCTCTTTTTACTTAATTCAGTACATTTGTTTCATAAAATTGAGTCACCGGTTTAATTGGAGTATTGCACTAACTGCGAATTGTCATTTGCGACTGATTTTCTTGCATTAGATTTTAATGAAACTTTCTGTGTGTCGGCAACAGCTCAAGAAAATAACTAAGAACATATTTTTATCCATTTACAAATTAATTTATTAAAAAAAACACGTATCAATCTTATTAAAACCATGATTCTATCAAAAATCAATAAAATCTACATGTTTTGGTTGGATAAAGACATTCATCTTCAGGCATAAGTGCTGTCAATGTACAGTTACACTGATAATTAACTGTTCTATTCATCTTATATTCAAAATCAGTGTACTAATTAATGGTTGTAAACGTCATGAACATGCGCAGAACCAATACCTCGAACTTAAACCAAGAACTGACAGGAGAAAAAAAATCTCCAAACTTTAGTTAAAATCGGACAACTATCTTTGTTCATAATTCTGTCCACGACTATTTTATTTTCTGTCACAAAAGCCTCAAAAACGTAACGCTGTTCGTAATCTTTAGGTTTAGCGAAAATATTAGGCTCTCTAAATTTATACCATGTGTAGTATTATGGATATGTAACG